TTTGAGTCCACTGCACAGTTTTTTTTTCATCTGTCATTTGTTTTACATTTGATTACTGCCTCCACTATGTTTTGCAATCCAAATATGCTAACCTTAATCTCGAATATGAGAGAGCTATTGATGACATAGGCATCGCAACTAGACGTTTTCTTGGGCAAGCAAATTTCTGAAACGATCGTCCAAATGCTGTAGCGTGTAGCATTTTCAACATGCTCGCCGTATCAACCCCAGCCTATCCTACATAACAGAGCGCTCAGAGTACTGTTTAGTGAAGAAACGAGTAGGAAGTTTTTGTTCTGACAAATAATCGGTGACCATGGTGCTTTCTTCTTCTTTGTAATTGCTCTCCTCCGGACGATTTACCTCCTCATCGTGACTGGGAGGTGTTCCTGGGTGTCGGGCTGCGACGTACAGCGGGATGATTCGCCACGTCTCCCAAGTTGAGAAGGAGTGCGGCGTTTCCAAGGAAGTCTATGAGCAAACCAATAGCAGGATCCACCATCGTCCTGGTATCAAACTAGTCGCGTGGTGGTGAATCTCCCTCTGATCCACAAAGAAGACGACTGCCTGTGGTGGTGACGACCTGGAGCAGACTTTGGCCAAGCTGACCTCTGGACTCTAGGAAATCACAATGCCTCAACCAGAAGAATTCCGAAAAAACGGAAATTATTTTGCGGCCCGCACAACCAGTGAAGACTGGCCATCCAAGTATTCAAGTATTCCAGTAAGTGTAATTGCTCCTTCTGTTCGTTCTCCGTGTCCATTCAACGCCCAAGATGCAAGCACGAAGTGGTTTCTGTAATCAAATAACCAACTAGCTCAATTTCTTCGCCGTCGTACTGTACTTCATTAATGGATGGAATCTTCATCCTGTTTGCTTTCACCTCTCCACTGAGTTCATTGAGCATTCTCGCTGCTCTACAGGCACTCCTCGAAAACTTAAACATATAACCACAATGATGCTGAGATATTTTCAAAACTGCGGACCTCAGTTGCCTGCCGTGGAGACTTAACGGACTATTCCCCCTTCCGCGGCTAACGCGTTCATCACCACACCATGCGGGCCCTTTGTTTCGCCTGTCTTTCAGCTAGTTTTCTATCGATCAGTGCCATCAACAATCTCCTGTCAACGGAATCGATCTGGGGAGCCCTGTTAAGCCTAGGCTGTCGTCGAAATCACAATTTCAACTTTTTATCCTATTATAAATTTTTCACAGCAGGGTATTATAGGGTCCGGCCCGAAGTTTTGCAAATATCTCAGCTTCATGGTGATTGTATCACATATAGTACCTTGCCGTGAAAGGAGGTAATAGGCAGAAAATAAAACGTTGAAGTCATAAGGACATAATTCACGAAGCGAAGATTTGGTTAGAATTTCCAGTTAGCACTATGCCATTCTCGTCCCAAAAGTGTGAATTTATTATTCGTTGCATTGCTGTAGTGAAAAGCTTTCGCGAAATATCGTCATCTTGTGCGGCTCCTTCACTTCTTGCGTAAAAGCTCTATTTTGCTGCCGCAATTACGATAGCAACCATATCATATAGCTGAGGACTACTCCTAGTGGATGATGAAGGAATTCAGTTGGTTCAAACTTTATCTAAAGATTTTTCACAGGTGACAAATTTTAGGACGGAAGCTGGATGGCACCTCCAAAGGACCTCAAAAGTCGGGGTCGGGGTACAGTTTGAATGCCGTCGATTCAGCAAAACCTTTGTCTTGATTCTGTTTACTCAACTTGCCTTATCTAAAGCTCTTGTAATGAGCACTATGACAATCAGCGTGAGCTGCTCGTGAAGTGCTCTTTAAAACGATTAATTCGGCGGTCGTTGCCACGACCCTTTCCGTCATCTCGAATGTGGAGGACGACTGTACCCGACGTACTGCAAATGTCCGAATTTTCTTGTTTTTGAAGAAAAGACGTTATATCAGTTGAGAGGAATATAGCTACTTTGCAGCTTTTATTTCAAAAAATGTGGATTATAATCATAAGGAAAAATGAAGCTGTGCTTGTTCTCATGCTTTCTGTCGTAGCTCCAACGTAGAATTATGGGTACTGGGCAATTTTTGCTCACTGGTATTTAGGGATCTGAAACAAAAACTTTGGAATGGAAAAGATTGACACTAAAATATTTTCGTTTTTTATTCTATCTCACGGAGAATGGTGGTAGTGATCCTTTTTCATACGTTGGGGTTGTTAGTGAAAAACCTTGTTTGAAGAGGCCCAGAAAAAACTTGAGAATTTTTCGGATTCCTTCGTCTATTTCCAGCAGTTTTACGAATGTAACTATCTCACAAAAATCTTTCTGAGCTATGCTTTATTAATTGCCGTGTCAAGTGAGATGTAATATGATTGGCTTTAGTATTCTTCTGCTTCCTAGCAAGTAATGGATGAGATGTCAGCCAAAATTTCTCATTGAGGAATTACAGCTCCAAATAGCTTCTAGGACCTTCGATAAGCAACTCGCAGCCAACGATCTGACCTTCCTCCACTTTTACATAAGAAGAGGATTTATTAGAGTATGTTCTCGTCTCTTGGGCGTGCGCCGCACAGTGGTCGATGGCGCCCTACAACACGCACGTGGTATCGATCCTCGCCCCCATGGCCCACCAAGCCTTCCATCCCTCCGGGGTCGGCAAATTGGTACCCATACTCGTCTGGGAGGATAGCAGCACTGGGTCGATACATCGGTAGGCCACCGTGGGTCACTGTAAAAGCCAGATATGAATTCAATCACCTCCAAACGATGCTTAATGAAGTCGAATGCATGGTGCGTCTTTCTGGGATTGATCAACGCCAAGAGCTTTATCCTTTGTCCTTTAGGTTCTTGTCATTAGATGAGTTATCTTTTTCTTTTTGGCGATGATATGGATTCTTTTGCAGCTTACGATTGAGCCGAACCATCGCTCTGACAAAGCGGTAATTACATCCAATACAGAATGGTGGGCCCATAGCAGTGCTAATGAGTCATCATTTTTTTGTGTGTGAGAATGCAACCAATATTAGCACAAGTCATGCTTTATAGAGCCCGCTATTCCTAGCCTCAATTTTTTTAACAATTGAATTAACTTGTGGATCACCATTGAGAACCCGGGATGTGGACTCTTGTTCAACAAAGTGGTTTCCACTCTCATATCGATATACTCTTCCAGTGCGCCTTATTGGCAATGGCAAAAAAAACCATCGACGCTTTTCGAACTACAGACATATTACCTCCCAATAGACTAAATGAAGCATTAAGCACTTAAGACTTCTATTAATGTCTTCCAAAACCATACCTACATGCCACTTTATTAAATGAGAGAAGACAGACATCTCATCAGAGTGTTTCTCGCAATCGAAATTTGATGTGCTTTCTTGTTTTTGAAGAACCGCACAACATCGAGTACCGAAGGACCTCTCAACCCTTAGTTATCGACAAGTTGCTTCAGTCCTTCTCATTTTACCTGCCACAATGGAAAGCCCCCATCAAATGAAGGAGAAACAGCAAGCCGGACTGCATTGTATAAGAAAAGAGTCTCACGTTTTAGTGGCAACTATCATCCAATCCGTTTAATATTTATCACCTGCAAACTTAATGAAGGAAAACGGACTGATTGTGTAGCCATTTTGGTAAAATTGAACCCTGATTTAATCTCAAAAGAGCGAAGTTTATAATAAATTGATTTACTACCGGTGAATCACACACGCTTAGCCTTAAACGTGCCTCGAAACTTTACGCATCTGGGTTGTTAAGTAAACATGGCACAAGAGTTAGCGAAAAAGCTGGACCGGCAGCGAAGAAGTGTATTTTGGAGCTTTTAAAATCACGCAGTGCAAGGATGTAGCGAAGGTGATAGAAACACCCTATTCTGTTCCCACTTAAACAGCATCGTGATTCTCCCTGTTTTCACGTCACCTTGGCCTGGAAACTAGGTGGTACTCAAAATGAATGGCCATTCAGAACGTTAGGTTGAGCACTCGAGATAAAATCTGAAATCCTGTTTAATGTCAGCAATCAACGAGCCTAAATGAATAGAGAAATCATGTCGGAGACGATATCAGTGGATAGGTGGACGCCTTAACGATAGACTCCTTTCAAAAGCCACTACCGACTTTCCTTAAAATACGCCTAGCAAACTGTATGGTTCTTTTTTATTCTTTGCAACCAAGGACAAAGACATTCAGTTAAATTTTTCGCCAAGATTTCAGTGCTTGAGCATACGAAGTACTACGCAGCTGGAAATACCATGTTTCTTCGACGTTTCAAACCGGCAAAGAGGTTTTTAAGTAACCGTTCTGTTAGTATTATCGACGCAGGAAAAAATATCTTGGTCTTCCTGTTGTCCTCTTGCAGGAAAAGAATCATCAATGTGTGCAAAAAGTGGCATGATCCAAGCTACGGAAACCTTTCCCATTACAGATTCTACATGAATTTGCTAAATATCAAATATAAACTTCTTCACTTTCTTTGGTAAGTTCTCATTGTTTTGTAAAACCGGTATACTGTAGTCTGCACCACTGTTTATGTCACAAGCATAACGTAAAGCTAAGAATAAATTCTTTCTAGAAAAAGGCGTATAACAAGACATTGGTCTAAAAAATGTCCAAGTGAGATAGTCGTTTCATTCAAGACACTAAAAGCTTAATAGAACCATCACACTAAGTGAAAATATTGAAGAAAAGAATCTCGAAATATATGGTAAGTTTCATGCTTCCTCAGCAGTCCAAGCAGACTGATGCGGCTTTTGGTTCATTTTGATATCATAAGATTTCCTACTGGTTCCACAAATTCTCGGAAGATCGTGCATGTTGACTCGTGCCTGTAAATGAACACATTCCCATCAGGATTTCACATCAAAAGAGGTCAGGACAGAGATTAACGCAGAAATAACGATAGAGGTAACGTTAACTATCAGCAAGAAAAAACGGAAATCTCTTCTTTAATATGTATTGTTTTTTTGATAAGCTTACACGAGGTTGATAATGATATTTATTTTTAGCTAACGTTTCGACGTCTTCGTCATGAACCACCGTTTCCACTGATGGTGCGCGCTTTAGCATAATTTGCATTCGTTTCGCCTGCGCAATCGTCGTCCATGATGATGATCTGATCGAACATTATGACTTCCACGATGCCTATTCCGAATACCTAAAATCGATTCCATCAGCGAATGCAGATGATTCACGATGGCCACGAACACGTAGGCCCATCTTTTGCGTGGTTTTCGAACAGAACGCTTGTATTCTTTTGGAGTCCGCTCTAATGTTCTTCTCGGCTATCTGCCATGTGTTTTCATTACGATGTGATCGGCTCATCTGTGATTTTCTATCGATGTAGATTTTCTTAGACATCGAAGATGGGATATATTTCGGTGATCTGAGCTGCGAATTCGGGTTAGACGTTGTGAGTGCCGGTCAAATTTCAGAAGACATCGTTTAAGTGTTCTCTGGGTGGTAAGCAGATCGTTGGTGATGTTGAAGTACCAGCTCATGCTCCTCCCGCTAACAGAGCTCTTGGAAGACTGCTGAATCGAACTAATGAGCGCTGATTTTGTGTCCGCTAGCTGGTCAGTGGCTTTTTTGAGTCGCCCGAATACCGCCCATGCTGCTTTCCTTCTTCTACCTAATTTCTCCTTCATAGTGTTCTCCATGTTCATTGAAGGTCCAAAGTACACTTATGAAGTGGTCTCTTTAATCAGAGAAACATCCAATTCGATTTGTTCCCTTCGCACCATGTGCTCAATCCACTTTTTTCTTGTTTCTTTAAGCTCATTTAGCATTGTTTATGCTTCGTTGAATATAACAATTTCACTTGCGAGACGGAAACTTGACAGGAATTTTTCATCAATGCGTATACCCTTTTCGTCCCAGTTCAGTGACTTCAGTATTCAATGTAATGCGGCAGTAAACTGTTTTGGCGATATTGTGCCGCCTTGTCGAACCCCTTTTCTTATGAGAATCTTGAGAAGTCGATGAAAAGTTGTACATTTGTATAGTAGTTCTGGTAATAGTCTGTTAGTTTTCGTATTTAGGATGGGTACTCTTCTTGGTCAACGATCGCTGATAGGATTGCATGCATATCGACGCTGTCAAGTGCATTCTCATACTCGATGAAGAGGCAGATGGTACTCACGGCAGACATCTATAACCCGCAATACGGTTTCAGTGTGGTCTATCCAACAAAATCTCAGTCGCAATCCTGCTTGCTAAAGTAGTTGTGCGCCATCCTAAGTCTTTGATGAGCTCAAAAGGGTAATCATCGTGCTTGTATCATCGTACACTCAACAAGCATATGAGACGGTCACCTTTCTTCGGTATGATGACCATACATGAGGTCTTCCAACTGTATAGAATTTTTCTTTTTGGGGGTAAGATGTAATGTGGATTGCGAGAAGTACAGTAATTTTCGGTCACCCTGGGCCTCTCTTCATACTTTATAATGCAACTCGCTCTTCAGCGGGTGAGATCTCCGGCGGTTTCTTACAAGTACGGATTCCGGTGTCCGAGGAGGAGATTGTGGATCTAAAAAATTGGCATGCAACTGTTCCCTTATCGCTTCCATATCGAAAGAATGCGTAACGAGGGGTTCATTTCCGTTCATCAGGTTGAATACGAGACCATTGCAGTGGCACAGATACCGACGACGCTTCTTCAAACAAGATCTTTGTTAGGCTATCTCCGATAACTTCTTCTGCCGCAACCGATATAAGCTTTTGCAAAGATCCTCTTCAGCTGGCATTTATCATCAACCGTGCAATGTACGTCGCAGTAGAGTCAAGCTTCAATCTCCTTCTCTTCTCAAGAGCCTTTTTAGTGATAATGGAGATGCGGCCTAGGCTAATTGTTTGAGATAATGAGCCGACTTCGGCAGGAACCCTACTTTCTTCGACAGAGACTTTCCGGGACATGGTCGGATCTTCCTTTATCTGTCAATCATATGAGGAGAGGATTCTACTGAGAATATCTTCGTCATAACCGACTTATCTCGTTTTTTTTTGTTTTAGACGATGACACTAGTACTTTTTCAACCTAAGGATAAATCGATTCTTCGCACGGTGAAGTTGAGGTGTCAAATAGAACTTATTTCCTGTGCGTGAGAATATGATCGATCTCCGCTTATGAGCCATTAGGAGATTGTCATGTCCCGCGGCGATCTTCACCCTCCTTGAAAAATGAATCCTCACAAAAAAGACATGATGAGAACAAGTGTACTACAAGACCATCTTCATTCTCATTTCGTTCTCCTATGTCGAATTTACCTATCCTGTATTTATTTTCGCCGACCGCTCCTAATAGAGTTAAGGACCCGAACAACGAATTAACAGAAAGATTTCCCGTCAGCGATTACTTCCTCCAACTTGTTGTAAAACGCCTCCAGTTCGCTGTCATCAACTGTACAAGTTGGCGGCTAGCAGTATGACACTGACTTTCTTTTGGTGCTGAAGTTGAAGGCGAAGACTGTCCAAGCACCGAGATATTTCAAATGAGGTAACTGAACGGGATATGGATATGTATACGCCAAAACCACCTCCGAGAATGCGTAACGAGAATTGGCCTCCACTAATGAATTTTGAGCGTCCTTTCATCTAACCGTTGTATGTCGGTCTTCCCGGTGTTTTTCTTGTAGGGCAACAATATTGAGTGTGATGTGACCAGCGGCGTCAAGAAGAGTGTAAATTTGGGCTCTGAATAGAGTGTTTTCGTATAATACGTGTATAACAAGAGGCACTGTCCATGGCGTATCGTGGGAATGCTCGATATACCAGTTTCCAATGACGGCCTATGCAACCCGAGATTTGATTACTTCTTACCGATTTGCTGGTCGAACTACTGTAGATCCCTGAATTTCCGAGACCAGACTATCCGACTCCTTTCTCAGGGCGTCGCTATTACAGGCGGCCGTCTGACCTTGTGGTTCAAAGGGAATTTGTCACCTTTGACTAATTTTATATAAGGACAGTGGCTATTAGTGATATCGGTTTACTTTTGGCTTGGCTTCTAGATGGAAATGTCGGACTCTTCTTACCTTCGGAGACCCTACTGGGGAGATAGACTGTCCGCTGTATATTGATAGGCCACACCCAGGAACACTCACCCCTACACTCTCCTCTCTATCCACGATCGATGATGGGACTATAAACCATTATATTGCGCAGTATATGTTTGTGAACATAGTTCATGCCGTTGTAAAACTTCTTTACTGAAAAAATTTTTCTGAAAAGCCACTTAGTGGCTTTGATTTCATAGAAATATGGCTGCAAGATAGAAAAGGCAGCTTATGATCATAATGGAAATGTACACCTCAAATGCCCAAACATTTTTCAGGGAAGAGATTTCTTAATTAAGAAGGTGTGAGAGCGCTAAATTTAATGCGATACTTGATTCGAGCGTCATTTGGTAGGACAATTCATAGTCGTCGTACTTATGGACAATGAGAAAAGTCGGGAAAAGCTGTTTCTTGCTAACCTCTTCAGGTGTCTTGCCAGATGTTTCTGGTAGCCAGTAGTAACATATCGCTGCTGTTATGATACAGGGTGCGAAAAAAAGCAGAAAATAGGAGAGGGGTCCTCCCAACAACGCACGAAGTGGGAAATAGACAGCAAGCAAAGCTGAACGGCTGAAAGCGAAAATTCTCAAGGAGACATACAATGACACCTCCGAAGTTTCCTTATTTTGCATGCTTGGAACAGGATAGTGTACTCGGTTCAGAGGCCTCGGTCATCGCAATAAATAGGAATTTTAGTGAAGTAAAGAGAAAAGACTTAAATTTCCGTCAGAAAAAGAATAAGTGAAATTAGACTAATAGTTGTCCAGAAAGGAGTGGCGAAACAGCGATATTTGAAGTCTCTCGATTTCTCCCGCGTTCCCACACGTTTCCTAACGCTATTAAGTAATCTAATTTTTTCACCCACATTCCATTCATTACGATGTTCACCCAAGTGTAGGTGGCGGCTCGAGCTCTCTGTCCGACGAGTTCACCAGGAACGAAGAAAGAAATTGGACCAGGTCCAATGGTGAACAAGAGATTGAAAATACATATAGTGACTACCACACACCAGCCGATCCACTTTTCCTGAATAAGACTCAGAAATGCTACTAGGTGGAACTTTAGCACTTCATAAAAAAGAAGTGCCATTCTGTCAGGGCATCTATTCGTATTTTAAATCACCGTCATCGTAAAGATGCCAAAAATAAAATCGAATTACGCGACTGAAAATAAAAAGGTCCGACCGTTACCAATTATCACTCGTTACTTTCTAGAACTCATACCAAATCATACCGATGTCCATCTAAACAAATACATAAGTCCGGATAAGACAGCGTTCACAATAGCTAATGCTGAAAAAGTCGAGAGTAGAAGTGGTCTGCGTCCCAGTCTTTCCACCAACTGAACAGACAGCACCGCGCCAACCTGCAAATCTCAACAGCTTGCGATTAAAACAACGGCATTTCTGGGCGTGAAACTGACTACTGCGATAGTAAAAATTAGTCCAGGCGCTTTCTACGTAGGCGTTACACTATTTATTATGCTTCTTCCAATGTTCAAAACAAATTGATGAAGTGGTAAAAGACGACCATTGGTTAAGTGGGGTTGAAGTCACTTAAAAATAGTATATCTAACTTAGTGAATTTTGCAGACCTGAGCATAATAAAAATACGGAAAGCTGTTTTTCAAAGCAACTACTAAACTACTCTCATCTCGTTTTGGTGCACTGAGAAAAAAAGTCTACGTGCTTACCGCTGCCACCAAACAGAAAACGATGTTAGCAAGCGACGCTTGAAGACCATCCAATCCGACAGTGAGCAATATTTCGTAGGCGAAAGCGCTGACTACTAAAATAAGAAAAGTACAATTACAAAAGCGTAAAAGAAAAAACGCTGTGAGAAAATTTCAATGATGCTGAGATATTTGCAAAACTCCGGACCGCAGGTGTCTGCGGTGAGGAACGAACGCGCTATTGTCCTTTTCGGGGAAATAACGCGTTCACCACCACACAATGTGGATGCTTCGTTTCGCCTGTCTCTCAGCTAGTTCTATCGATCACTGCCATCAGCAATTAGCCGTCAACGGGATGGATCTGGGAAGCTCAAATCGACATTGAACCCACTTAAGCTGAGATTGCTGATGACAGTGATCGATAGAACTAGCTGAGAGATAGGCGAAACGAAGGACTCGCAAGGTGCTGCGGTGAACGCATTACTCCCCGGTAAGGACAATAGCGCATTCGTTCCCCACCGCAGACACCTGCGGTCCGGAGTTTTGCCAATATCTCAGCATCATTGAAGTTGTATTTCGTAATATATCCTGCCACTAAAAAAAGAAATAGGCAGTAAATAAAAAGGTTAAGACCGTGAGGAAAAACCAGTAGGTTATCTTGGCTACTCCTACTCTAACGTGATATCAATTCTTTCCATCGGATATTGGACTACCCATTTTAAAGACCTATTGATCTTCTCAATTAATTAGGCTATATTACCTCTTCAAGCATTGCACGACGGGATGACCTGCATAGGAAGCATTCGTAGAGTGCAACGTATATGGCATAACCTCTTCACAGCCCACACTTTTTCAGTGCTATTATTATTCAGTTTGGCGCGATAAACCTTTTTCGTGCGCCTCTCACTCCTCATGCAGAAAGAGAACGTTTGTAAAGATCTGTCGAAGAGCCACCAGTGTGTTCAGAGGAAAAGAGCAGAAGAAAGAATCTATGAAATCGGCGCAGCACATATCCATTTCCAGTGGCAACGAAACTGAACCTCTTCGAGACAAATGTAGAAAAAAAGCACTTGCTTAAATGGTAATTCTAGCGAGAATGAGGTCCCGTGTATCAGCATGCTGCGGTGGCTGCCTTTTATATCCAACGAAATAAGTGCAGCTATAAAACGTTCATTAAGAAGAGTCGGTCTAGAGAATTCGCTAACAGCAATTGAATTGCCACCGAGGACTCTAAGACGCTAGCTGATTCGCAACCGCCTGTATGACCGTCTATCACCTGCATCACCTAATGTTCCGTTGATCGGCGAGTGACTCGAGCGGGCGCCAGTAAATCTTCCATTTTCTCTGTCAAGTGCAGGAGTAGCCCAGTGGATTATCCTCGCTTAAGCAACCCGTTGCGCATCACATCTTTCTTCTAGGCTTTTCGCCAAGAACTCTGACCACTGAATCGGTGGTCTTCCTGCAGTGTGTTTGATATCCCGACGAATCCAGTCACTAACGGCTTTTGTCCGTCGGCTGTCGTTCATATGCAATACGTGTCTGACCCATCTATCTTCGACTGTTTGGTGTGCAGAACGGTATCTTTAAACTTTGATCGTTGACGCAGGTCAGAGCTTCGGATCCCTTCCCTCATTTGCGTGATGCAGGATGCTCCTAGTATCCCCCTTTCGACTGCGCGTTCAATAATGCTGAGTGATCTTTCATCCTCCTTACGTAGCGACCAGTTTCTTGACGCGTACGTTAAGGCGGGAAGTACCGTTGAGTCGAAAAGGTGGGCACGGAGTCGGGTGTTCCTTGTTCTCTTCACCAGATTCTCGATGCTCTTGAAAGCTTCCTAAGCCGTTCGTTTCATTCTGCTCAACTCTGGAGCTAAGCTGTTCATCGTATTGATTTCCTGACCCAGAAAAACATAACTGGAGCATTCGGAGATATTCGTTCCGTTAAGCGTAGACGGGGCATACGAAACCAATCCGTTCTTCATGAACATAGTTTTTGTGAGATTTAGTCGAAGACCAATCTTTTCACAGGCTTTATCAAAGTTGTCAAGCATACGTTCCGCTTGGCTAATCTTTGGTGTTATAAGAACGACATAATCAGCAAAGCGAGGATGGTGTAATTGCTGACCATCGATTTTCACTCCCTTGTTGTCCCATTCCAATGTTCGCACGGCGTTCTCCAGGGTTGTGGTGAATAATTTTGGCGAGACGGTATCAGCTTACCTAACCCTCTTATGACGTCGATGTTAATATCGTTGCACAATGGTGATATATTAGTTTTGAAATATTTGTATACCCCACGAAGAATCTTTATGTATTGAGCCCCTTGACTATCAAAGTTTTCCATGACTGCTTCTATCTCAATTGAGTCAAAGACCTACAGCGGTCTTTTGTACTCTCGTGATACTTCAATGAGTAATATTTCGAAACCGACTTTCCTTGAACCTCGGTATCACTAATCAATATGTATTCTTCCTTTGATGAGCTTACACGAGGTTGATAATGATATTTATTTTTAGCTAACGTTTCGATGTCTTCGTCTTCCTCAGAGCCGATGATCCGAGGCATCACGCTTGTTATTCGTCTCGACGTGGCAGCCTCGCTTTCGTGTCGAGTCAGGTCTTCCTCAGTGAGCCATTTCCTCGAATGAGGCATCCACACTTAGTGACGCCCTTTTATGCAGTTCAAGGAAAGTCGGTTTCGAAATATTACTATGCTTTGTGCTAGCTGATAATAAAACCGACTTCTGCAGGTTTGATTGCACGGGAAAACACACAGCTATCCACCACCAGCAACCTGCATAAAAGGGCATCGCCGAGTGAGGATACCTTATTCGAGGAGATGGCTCGCTGAGGAAGACCTGACTCGACACGAAAGCGAGGCTGCCACGTCGAGACGAATAACAGGCGTGGTTATTGGTGGTACAACATATCCATCGTCCCTTATTTCACATGAGGGAAGGAGGACATGGCTATTGAATAGATCTGAGCAGTATTTGTGAATAGTTTCTCCATTGCCCTTCTGTACGCTGTAACTGTTCCGTATGGGCGTCAGAGTGCAATAATCACGGTCTTGTAATTGGCGAAGCTTCTCTGCTGTTTCGAACATAACTGCTGCTTTAAGATCTTCTTTTATGGCCTGTCTGCATAGTGTTGCAAGTTCAGAAGTTGCGCTAATGTGAAGATGTTGAATGAGCCGGTCCTATTCCTCATCCATATTATCGACAACGGCATCTTCCCAAAAGCCGACTAATGAGTTGAATAAGTCTCAGTTTACGGTGGTTTGGCGACTTCGGTTTTTGAATTTAGAGGTTTTTTCTCGTTTCCGCGAGAAATGGAATTTTGCACGAAGGAACCGGTGGTGTGATCCTGCGTAGAATTTTGGGAAAACAACGACATCAGCAAGGCAAAACCCTCGATTTACTATGATGTGATTTACTTTGTTATGGTACTCTCCACTGGGAGACTCCCACGTCTAGCCTTGAGGGTGGGGGGTTCTGGAATTGCGAGTTATCATGGTTCGATCGTTCATTCTGATCCGTTGGTCCCAATCTAACGTTCTTTAGACGTTTTTCTTAGTCCAAACTTAGCGTTAAAATCTTTAATGATGACCTTGAAGAACGTGTGCTCTTCTCTGCAGAACTTCGTCAAGTCCATATAGAACGCTTCGACTTCTTCTTCGTCACAGCTTGATGTTGGCGCAGAAACTATGAAGATTTTTAAAGCCTGTTGATTTACACCTCTTTAATCGTAAACGCCTGATTCGGGTTCTTAATTGTTCAAATGAATCGATGTTCATAGACAAACCCGAGTTGACAAGAACACCAACACCGCCGACTCCTCTGTTGTCGCATGTTCCGAGGAACAGTTCTTCTCCGGTGTCATAGACGGTGTTGAAAGGCTGGAGTCTCCTCGTCTCGGCTAGGGTGATGACGTCGTACCTTATCTTTCCTGCTTGCATGAGCAAGCCTTCTATCGAAGACTCGGATGCAAGTGTACATGCATTGTAAGTACAGATCGTCACCATAGTTCTTTGAAGTCTAGACAGCTTTCATTGGCCCTAAGATTTTAGCAGCCTCTCCGTACTCGTCCCACCAAATGTTGCGAAATTGGGAAATCTTTCGGGGTCAGGGGAATGAGGCTAGTTTGTTTTATTGTTTTTAGCTTCTTGGTGCCCAGGTATAGCTTGCTGGGCACTGGACGTGGGGCTGGGTATACGCACGGGTAGCTTGTCGGGTTTTTCCAGAGTGGACATAGCGCTTATTGGTTGGAGGCGAATCGTAGCCGCCTACCAAATACTTGCCTACCGAATAATAAAAAGTATTCTAACATAAAGTACGTCCAGGCTCTGAGGAAGGCGAAATCGCCAAAACGTCAGCCATCGTTCAATAACATCAAAAACAACGACAACGAAGATCTGTACCAACCTCGCGTCAGCTTAAGAAGATCAGTTTATAAGATCATATAAATAAATACTTGCCTGCAACTTGAATGCAGGTTTTTGGCCAATTGACTCGTAGAATACAATCTGCATAAACTAGAGCGCACCCACACGCGCATGCATGAATACGCCTCGTAAATACAGAAAGTATATGCCAAATCGGAGCAGTAGAAACAGAAAGGCCATACCCTGGATCCACCTGCGTCTCAGGGAAGCAAAGGTTGCCTTTGGTCCGCGATTAACCACCTAACCGCCACCTAGCGACGCGCGACGTAGCCTCGCGAATAACCGGCTCGAGATCCCGCATTCGAGGGAGATCCGTGGATAACAGTTGATATATAACGCAAAATTGCAAAGTATACCCGAACAGTAGAGACAATGACTGCACGAGTTCGTGTAAGGTCTACCTGATCTCTCGTAAAATGTGCTGTAACAAACATACTGGTGAGACGGGTAGATCACTGTGTGCCCGTATAAAAGAACACCTAGTAGGTAAACTTAAACTTAAACCAAATATTCCACTAAGCGCGCATAGCACAAAGAGACGTAAAGAAAATGATTTCGAACCTGGAGTTAGCATCCTCGCACAGGATTCGAAGAGTTCAACGTGAAAATTAACCAACTCGCTGTGAGTAAACTTAAGGGATCCAAAAATTAACCGCAGGGGAATGCCTTGCTATCACACGTGATCTCATGCAATATCTCAGACTTGTAATTTAATGTGAGAGGTACCTATTACCCATCCATGCGAATTCTTCACAGTTGGTCTCCAAATATGAAAAACTTATAGGAAACGATGAGCTATTTTGTTTTCAACACGATGGAAGTCATGGTTTCGTGGTTTTTGCGTTTTGGTTATGGAGATGTTGGCTGACTAGATTGATGTCAAGATGACATTTATGACATTTCCATGCCCTGAAGAAAACGAATCCTCTGAAACGTCAACATTCTTGTAGACAAAGAATAAAGTGACAATCTCCTGTTTGCTCATCAAGAAAGCAATGAATAACTTGATCAATGGCGAGGTTAGTGGAAACCCGGTTATGGAAATTGCCGATGGTAATTTCCTTACATATTGGAGCATAATTATATGAACAAGTAGTAGTATACATACCACGCACACTTCTAGAGCTGTACAGCAATGTTTTTCTATAAAAGTGCCATGTTCTCAACCCATTAATTCCACTAGTTATTGAAAAACCGTGTGTTGTCAAAACATCTCAAGACCGTAAAAGGATAAGCGGATAAAAGTCTCGGCGTTGATCAATCCCTGAGGGATGCGCCATGCATTCGACTTCATTAAGCATTGTCTAGAGGTGATTGAATGCATATCTGGCGTTTACAATGACTACCTACCTGCAATTCCAGACAGTACCGTTCCGCACATAACAACAGCCGAGACCAAAAATCCACAGAGCCATTTTTCATCCTTAACTGAATAATAGGTCTAAACACTGAGTGGTAGCATGTCTTTCTCCGTAGTTTTCGGATGAATCTTCACTACACTTTATGAAACTTTTGTGAACTTACCACGAAGATTTCGAAGAAACCGAGCGGCCGATCCCCTTTGTTGGCACTCTGGGCATCGGCCAAGAGCAACTCGACTTCGGCTTCCGTAACACGATGATAGTACTTAAATGAACTCGCAGCTTTACGTGTTTCGTTTCGAGCCACTAGAAAGCTGAAAACACTGTGCGATTAAATAGATCAAGTATTTAGATTAAAATCCAATCAGAAATATCAGAACATTCTTGCAGAACTCTGATATTCACAGATATGCTACTGAAAGTTAATCATTAACCGCACTATAATGCCAGGTAGCGCTGACAACTCATCCACTCCACTTGTATAGGGCACAGGTTTATAAGGTAAAGCATATTTTACGGATGGGATAAAAATAGCTTTGGAGAGATTTGGGTTAAATGAATGCGCAGTGTAGGGCTTGATTCAGCGGACGACTTTCTGCCACTGTTGAAGACGAATTAAAGGCTTTGGTGGAAGCAAGTATAAGCACAGCGGTTCGGAAACTTGCAAAGGGACACTTCGCTATAAAGATCCCATAAGAATCGAATTAGTATAAAAAAAATGTTGCCGTTTCGAAGTACCGTAGGCATCTTTTCTACGTAATAAACACTACTAGTTCCTCGACTGTATTGTGATTTGTGACGAAAAATGGATCATCAGTGATGACCGGCTATTTTCCAAATAGCTTGATAATTCCAAGTTGACAGGTTTCATTCTTCTAAACGTGGCATGAAGAAATGTTAAGGTGACGATTATCGAAGAGATCGCAGTTAGAAGTCGTACATAACTTTCTTCCTTGCTCACCCGGATGAACCGATCATGACGCCTGTGCGCACGAGAGTGATTACCTTGTTCATGCAATAGAACACACTAGCAATTATAAGGATGGCTAGAGAATTTCAAACATGGTCTTAGTCTGTGTTATTGAGAACATCTGTAGCAGCCTTTATCTTTAAAAAATCTTGATTCAATTAGCGCTCTTAAGTCTTTCTGTTAAGCTTTTCAGACGCTCTGTTGGGACCAATCTTGGCGTAAAAATGCCATTAATGGTATCATAAAATGTGTAGAATTTCTCCAACCCCGTCAACTCTTCGATTTGTCCTCATCACAGTACGAAGTCAGTTTGTAATTACGGAAATCACAAATTCAAGTGCAACTCGAGCGGACGTTGGTAAAATTTTCATTTCTATTTTTAGCGTGCAAATTAGACCTGTCGGTTCTGCTCGATCGAGAAAGTTTCTGAGCACCATATCTTTCTTATAGTGTAGCAAACTCCATGACCGACATTCCTACAGCCTCGGAATAGATTTATAACTCAACGTTTTCTTGGAAAAACACGAGGCCGTTACCGCAGTATTTATTTACCCACAATAGCCGACATTTAGGCGCTTTCGCCATCTTCAGAATCTCCCAATGTCAAACTAACATGGACCAACTCGACCAAATATTTGTAAGCCTTGCAGTTACTTGGTGAAGACGAACCGTACTGAGTCTTATATGGGGGAGTAATGTCCCGGCTGAGGTGAAAAAATCGGCCTGAAGCATGGCGTGAGGTCACGTGTGATCACTAGCACTCTTCTTTGTGGTTTACTTTTGGATTTCTGGAATGTATTGAAAACGCTTCAGTTCGAACCACTCATAGTATAGATTCCTGTATCAGAATAGTGACTTTTACTTTAAAATATTCTCTATTATGCTTCTGTATCCTATTCGTCTCTAGTGAAGTATTTGGTCTAACTTTAACTTTACCGACATGGTGTTTCTTTATGCAGATGCACAGTTGTCTACCCATTACGCCAATGTATTCGATCCCACACGCTCTACAAGAAACCAGTTAAACCGTACTCGAACTCATGTAATCACCTCCTTTACCGTTAGGGCATTCTATGCAATTTTGCACAGTGCATAGCACATCATACAGGCGGCTACGAACTAACCGGCGTCTTAGAGTCTCCAGTGGTGTTTCATGCCTTATTACCCAATTCTATAAACCAATCCTCCTTAAGCGACGTTTCAAAGCTGCATCTATTTCGTTAGAAATAAAGGGTGTGGTAAGCGGAGTCTTATTCTCGCTAGAATTAACGTTTGGAGCGTTGTTTTTCCTCAATATTTATCTCGAGAAACTACAGTTTCGTAGCCATTAGAAATGGTTATTTATCGTGCCGATTTCAAGGATTCCTTCTACTCTTTTCCTGTGCACGCGCTGGTGGCAGTTCGAAGGATACAATCGCCCTTTTTGCGCATGATGAACGAGAGGAAAAGTAATAAGCAAGTACTTTATTGTTACTTTGCTTCCTCTGAGAATGTACGTTGGCATTCCAATCACTAAATTCTCTATGCCTGCCTTTCTCAAACAGCTTTTTATAGCTGCAATTATTTCTTTGGAAATGAATGGCAATATGGGAACAGGATGGAAAGGACCTTATTCTTCGTAGTAATATTGGTTGAGGACATGGTTGCATCTCTAAAGCTATCCCGACGAGGTGCTACTCCATCGTGGCCATTATAAATGACTGTTTTCCGCTTCAGTTCCTGGGACTCCCCCTTCTCCTCTCTTTCCGTGCACAGACTGGTGGCTGTTCGAAACAAGTTCTTACCAAACACTCTTTTCGTGTCTGAGGTTGAAAGAAGAAGTAATGAACCTCTATGTTTCTATTACCTGGGTTTCAATACTCTTGGTAATGTAGCCGTTTTTGGATAGATCAGTTTTAACATTTACAAGCGGAAGCCGGTTTCCATTCGGTTTTTCTTGAGTGAATTTTATGTCCTCTGAGTGTTAATTCAACAACTGCAAGCACTTGTCCAATTGGTCTGGTGTCGATCAGATGATCTAACTACCATATGTGCATCTTTCCCTACACCAGAGTAAGAACCAGAGATCGGTTACTGCTGCTTTAACCTTAGACATAACTGCAATGGCAATGGTTGGTGCCAGTCGCTGTCCCACTGCCAAGTGTGCGTAAAATTTTCAGCATCGTGTGAAGACAGAGCAGTTTTGGCACTTCTTTAGGGAGCCATCAACTGCCGAGTCGAGAAACCATACATGTTTATTGACCCCTCGC